CTTTCGTCATGTATATGTCTCAACTCTCTCTATCTCTAAGCATGTCACTCTATTTTTCAACTATGGCATACCAAGACCCATAAGTTATTGGCGACAGCAATGAAGGTTCGGGTCACGTTGCTCTCAGTATATCAGGAAGCGGAGTTCACGATTCTGCACCATCCCTTTATTTGGCATGAACGAACATGGATTTGTGTCAAATAAAGAATCATTGTAATGAGTTATACACATAGGTATAACCATTGGATCTGGTGTCATTTCAAATATAAACTAGACCTAGACCAATGACACTTGGGGCACGGAGAAATTAGTAAAGCTTGCATCTATGAACCCACAACTCTTAGGTATGTACTAGAGGTGTTAAGCGCCAGATTATACCCGCCACATTTCTGCTGTTAAAGATGATTTTGCATATTATAATGGTTGTGTGCATTCATGGTGCATAACAAATGCTCTAGATATTTCACCACGATCTCATAGGAGCAGTCCCACTCTACATTCATAGAGATAATTTCATCTAAATGTACTTGTACTACATACACTATCCCGTAGGATTATAAAATTATTAAGAGCTTTTGCTCAGTCTCACAAAAATGCAGTCTAACACATACCTGTATACTATAAGAAGTGACTTCAGAGAATTATTCAATGCTAGCAGAATTAACAAACAATTTGTTCTCATCCATTAACCTTCTTGATGGGATCACCAATCACAAAAGTTGGGTTGCCATCACTGTTAATTTCAAACCAGCTTTAGTACCATTCCCCTCGATATTTCAACAATCTGCTTCCTCCCCAAAGGTTTTGTTAATGGATCCGCAAGATTCACTTTTAACCTTACAAAATCGATTAAGATCACCCCTCCTTTTAGCAGCTGCCTCAAAATATTGTCTCTCAACCAATTATGTCTACTTTGATTATTAAACGTTTTGTTTTTAGTCATGGCTATCGCAGACTAACTATCACAGTGTAATGATATTGATGGTATAAGCTTGTCACCCAATAAGATATTTGCTAAAGAAGTTTTTCAACCACTCAGCCACAGCTCCAGCCAAATCCCTAGTAATTAACTCAGAATCTTTTTCAGATGTGGTTATGATACTTTGTTAGTCTGACTTCCATGTGACAACCCCACCACCAATTATCTCTTCTAAATCTAAGATCTAGTTGGCATCACTATATCCTTTTAATACAGTGAGAAATCCACTATACACTTGGTCTTCCTCTCTCCCATCCCATGTGGGATTTTATTTGACACACACCTTACACTTTCCGCAACATAAGTAAATTTCTAAGATTATTTGCCTATTATGGCCAACAAGCTTGGTGTAGATGGACTGACAAATGAACTGTGCAATGGGTTTAATTTGTAGTGGATTCTGATAAAGGGGTCATCACGTTCGACAACCTTAAGAGGAATTCCACTTTGCTGGGGTACAACATTTTGCGGTTGAGGATCTTTGCTCCACGTTGAGAGGTGATTTTGGCGTTGGTGGTGCTCTGAATTAGCTGGAATTCTTGATTACGGAAGCTTTGTCTATAGAGCTTGTGAAGGACGCCTCTTCTTTTCATCTTTGCAACATCTATCTTTTCATATCCTTGCTTCTTTAATTTAGTTTAAATTTTATAAAAAAATCCAGGTGGAACTGATTTGGAAGCTATTTTTGCCATCTTGATGACCCATAACTCAAAGAAGGATAATAATATAAAATGTAAAACATGAGAGATCGAGTTATAGTCAAGTCAATAGTTTAAGGACTGAGTCGTACCAAGTTATAATTAAAAACCGAGTTACAAGTGAGTTAATAGTTGGAGGATTAAGATTAATTTTTTCTTTATCTTATTTCGCATTTTTTGACTACTTATATGTTGTTTAATAAACATAAATATATCAACCCTAATTAATATATTATGACCATGGAGATTGATTCTTATAATGGCAAAAGTGTAAGGACCTTATAAAAAGATTATAAAAACTTGATTAAAAATTAAGTAAAACTATCAAGATGAAAGAAGGGAAAATAACACATTAAGAACCTCAAAATTGCTAAATCTCCCAATGAGTACCCCAATATACAGAAACTTTAAAAGTGCAGAAACATAAATTGAAGCTTTGAAATTCAATCAAAAAGACACGAGTGCCTCTTGTTTAAGGAAAAAAAGGTTTCTCACCCTCTTGCCGTAAACCCTGCCAGTGACTGCTGGGAGGAATATTTCGACACTGGTGGGAATATTTTGGACTAAGTAGTAGAGGTGAAATTTCATCTCATGACCACTTACATTCTAAAATTAAGGATGACCATTGAGTCTCCAAATTTGATTGACATTATAATGTAAAAATTATACTCCTCCTGTCCTTAATATAGGACCCAATTCTTGAGTTGGTTTTGATCCTAAATATAAGACTCATTTCTCATATTTATCAGTTTTTCTAAATTACTCCTATGGGATACTCCCTCAATCATAATCAAGTAGAAGAGGGAGAGGGGTATTAAGAAAGATGATTATGGTGTTTTAGAAAAAATGTGTCACTATTTTTTATAATTAACTAACTTACCTAACTTCCTTAATTTAATCAAATTAGTTAAATGGCTTATCTTAAGGACCGGAGGAGTACAAGTTAACTCTTTATCTTTGATTGCAGATCATTCACCAGTTTTATACTGGTTTTAACTACACTTCATCAAATATTAATAATTTTTGTTTAGTATAAGTAACAAGGTCACACAATTTTTATATAGGTAGCAACTACATTTAATTAGTTATTAGCAACTTTCATCCAGCAATCTAGCAATCACGATTTTTAAATTTCATACGTTTTAAACAAATTAACAAGGCCCTTTGACCACAAGAGTGATTCATAGTTAATGAAATGTCATTGATAGCTAAACAAAAATTATGAGTGACCTGAAAGAGTGATCTTATTACTTGTCACATGAAAATTGTGTTTTTTTTTTAATAGAAGGGAAAGAAAACAAAATTACCAACAAATCTCCAGAGCCTAAGCTCATAAAACGGGTAACAGCATCAGCACCCAAAAGTTGAAGGCCGTGAGGATTCGCCAGAGCTCTTTTTGCTAAGGAGTCCGCCACCTGATTGTCGTCTCTAGCTAAGTATTGTAGTCTCCTTGGCTTCCATAATCAGGTTGAAGTCCTCGTGTAGGTCAGGAGGGTCTGTCTGCAGAAGCTTCAAAGCTTCCTGATCGTAAAAGCACATTCCTATGACCTCCGTCCCAAGCTCTTTTCAAGCCCATAAGGCAACCCCAAAGCTCAGCTGAGAGAGCATCTCCAGAAACTGAAATCCTTCCAGGACAGAACCATCCTTATCTCTGTGAATTCCACCACAAGCGGCATTATAGTCGTTGAGAGAAAAGGTTCCGTCAACATCAACGGATACATTGAAAGATTCCACCAAAAGATCCGTGTCATCACATGAAAATTGTTAACAGCTAATTAAATGTAGTCAATACCAATACAAAAATTATGAATGACATGAAAGAATAGCCTTGTTACTGGCTAAACAAAAGTTGTTAACATCTAATGAAATATAGTCAAAATCAATACAAAAGTTGTGAATGACTCAAAAGAATAACCTTGTTACTTGCTAAATAAAAGTTAATACTACCTCCGGTCCTAATTATAAGAGCCAGTTGATTAATTTGAGGAGATTAAGAAAGTAAGTTGAGTTAGTTATTTGTCCTAAATAGGTGTTGTCTTTCCTATAATTATTAGAAGGATTATCTTAAAAAAAATTGAGTAAATATGAGAGACAAAGTGGATTGGGGCTTATATTTAGGACTAAAATAAAAGTCAAACAGGATCTTATATTAAGGACTGGAGGTAATATATGATTAAGTATAGTCAAACCGTACAAAAGATGTGAATAACCTTAAAAAAGTAACATTATCTCGGTTCCTAAACTTCAAACAATACTAACAACTTTTGAATAAATTTTACCAATTTCGGCATAAGAATCAGGCTAAAGTCTACATCTAGCCGCTTGATTTCATAAAAGGTTTCAATCTGATCCATTGACGTGTATATTTAATCATTTAATCCTAAAATTATTAGTCTGATATAATGATTTTTTTGTAACAATTATAGTTTTTTTTTAAATTAAACTGTTAGTATTTGAAAATAATTTATCAACATTTAATAGCTCAATATCTTTTTTTTTTTTGGTTAACAATTCAAGTTTAAACAACTAAAAATATACTTCTTAAATTTACATAACCAAATCGTAACCTTGTGTAAATTTAAAGAATTGAAATATATTTTAACCTATAAATTAACAAGCCAAGATCTTAACATAAAAATTTGAGAAAATAAAAACAAAACATATCTTTAAGGAAATGTTCAATTACAAATTTCAACGAGTAACAAAAAATTTTCAACTCATTTTCCTTATTTCGAAATAGAAATTATAAACCAGAGCATTTGTCTTTTCATTGAACTTCAAAATTCCATTTTAGGATTTTGCTACTTTAGATACCTCGTGAAGGATTTGACATTCTTTATTAGTCATTTTCCCATAGAAGAATTATCCTTAAATTAAATTTATGAAGTGTTCAAATTTTAAACTTTTCAGAAAACAAAATATAGCCCCATTCGACCCAATCAGGAAAGATCAAACACGCTTGTCTCACTGAATACCAAAAAAAATTAACGTGCCTTTTAATCAATCTGGGTCGTGGGTTGTGACGTCCTCTTAACCCGTACCAAAAGAAAAGCTAACATAGTAATAAGATACCAAAGATGAGTCTAATGAAATGAAGATAGCTACAGAGAGCTTAAATCTTGAGAGCATAACATGAACATCAAATAAATTTGCCAAGGTTTTTAGGGGGGTGAAAAGGACTTGGTACTCACTAAGTTTTCTTTTAAATATGACCAATAATTTGGAAGACGTCAAGGGGAGAAAGCACAAACCCTACTGATAAGGACATGACTCCATCTTCTACATTTAGTGCTGATCTAAGCGTTACAGTGACAGCTGAAGAAACAAGGTCACCTATTATAATTTACAGTGATATGCTGTAGATCTGAATAGGCCTTGCAGAATCACTAATACATACTCAACTATAAAATGGATATATAAGAATACTAGGCCAATCCTGAGACGAGAAACATCTTTCATAAAGACTCCAGACATTCTTTACCACTATGCCTATGAAGCAGATCATTCTAATAGTCTAGAGACCCCATTGACGCAATCCCATTGCTAGGATTTCTCAACTCTTGCCGACTCGCATAGTTGTCAGTGGTAGAAAGCCTGTGGGCTAATGCAGAAGCCGTGGGACCAGAACTTTCTCTGCCCATTTGTTGTACTTCAAGTGGAGACAGAATCTTGATGTACCACACATTGTTCACAAACTCCCTGCAAAAGAAGTGTCTCAGAAATACTTGAGAAATGGCATGGTGCCTGTAAAGGCTATGGCTAAGCAGAGGCAACAAGACTTTAGTAGTTTTTTATTCTTTCGTGGACCAACATTATTTTAGTATTTTTAAGTACAAAGAATTTAGTAGTATCAAAGCAATCAATATATTCAATATCAAGGACCAGGGTAAATATGAGAGACCGAAAAAACATTTAATCAATGTTACATTTCCAAATTATGGGTACCACGCCACAAATAATCACTATCAGACACTAGCGGAAAGCTAGTCATCAATAAATGACAACCAATATGACGTAACTGAACAAAAATTTACCAAAAACTAGTATAATGCAAGACTTACTGCCAAGGGTCATCACCAAGGAGAAGAACATCATTCTCCCGGTCAACGAATACAAGCTGCCAGCCTGATCTCTGAGGGTTCTCTAGTTGGCCTTCAAGCCCAAACATGCGGGCAAGCTCACTACGTAGTTCATCGTAGCTGCTAAACTTAGAGATGTCCAGTGACCTCCCAAAGCACCCTAACTTGTGAACCTGTCCGGAGAAAAACAAATAAGAGTAGAGAACATTAGATGTAAGCTCATCATGCAAAAAGAAATCATACATAAATATGAAGCTCTTCATGGTAACTAGTATATACTCATAATATAAATACCCTCCCACTCCCCATGCAGAAGGCACATTGAACATGAACATGCTACATGCCAGTGTTCCGTTTGCTCCTGGTCCTTTCATGTACATAATTAAAGATTTTCCAATTATATTCATTTCATATTCATCCTCCAATATGATATGAATCCATCCATCATCTTTCCTTCTTTCCAACCATCTTTTTCCTTTTTTTTCCTTCCTTTTCTCTCTCTGTTTCTTTCTTCTCTTTTTTTTTTTGGGGGGGGGGGGTGTTGTTTTGAGAGGTGCACTCACATAACTCACAAGGCCGCCCACGTAAGTATCCATTCATAGTAAACAATGCTATGCAGAACACAAGTACACAGACAGCAGACCTCTTTCTCAACACACAATAAAGAGATTGACGTATTGTATAACTCCACCATTCTGGGAGTAAAAATGATCTCCTAACGTGCGAATAGAACTCCAAAATCAGCCATGCCCGCCCTCTTTTCCTGGAGAAGGGAGCTAGAGAACTTTGAGGCCTTAGTTTCCATTTATTGATGGTTTACATTTCCGTTTTCAACCAAATATGACCAGTGCAAGTATATTTAAACATATTACTTTGCAGAGGTTCACCTACATTATCTCTGCAACATAAAATTCCTTCTTTCCATAAATGTTCAGATGCTGCTCAATTATATCACCATGTTCCCAGAAATTTTGATGTTTCCAAACCTATGAATAACACCAAAATATGATATTAAGTTCTTATTGAGCTCACAGGTTATAAACCAGCTTTCCTTCCTTGTGTATTTTAACTAACGTAAACCGCATTATTGAACAATTGGAATACAATTCAACATTGACGCAATTGTGTTTTTATCAACTATAGTACATCCTCACAATTTGTTATATGAATTTAGCTCACAAAATTTAGTCCAAAGAAAAAATGATACGTCCCACACTTCAGAAAGCAATCCCTCCATCCTCCAAATATAAAATGCCCAGTTTCAACAAAAAGTGAGGACATTATTTAAGAAACAGTGGCACTAAGGTACAAAATTTAAAAGAAAACTTTACCTTGACAAAGGTTCCAGTTGATGTATTTGCTTGCTCCACATTTTCTGAAGACTGCAAAAAACCAGATTCATCTACACAACTTGATGTTGTCATATCTGAACTTGGAGGATAATCAGTCCCTGTAGCACCACCGAAGTTTGAAGCTGAAAAGGGCATCAATAATGTATCATTCTCATTGCCAACGTTTCTCATGTTTGACATGCTATTTTGTGACATAAGAGTAGGATCAATATTAACCCCAAACAAAAGATTGGTCTGAGGATCAGTGGCACCTGGGTATGCAGAATATTCTCTTCCAGGAAATGGAGGCAAAATAGGAAGTTCAGATACATTTGAGTGTGATGTACCCAAGTTTCCCACCTGGGGTAATACACACTGAGCAGCAGCAGTATGAAACTGAGGTTCAGCAGTTATTTGCTTGGGTAGTAAGGAAGCAGGAGAAACCAGAGAGTTGGATCCATTCATGTTAAGTAACTGGGATACTCCATCCTGGGGAAGCGATCCAAGTAGACTGTGGATAGCAGAAACATCAGAGCTGGGAATTTGGTTCTGGTTCCTGGCAGGTTCAGGGAAACTCTGCTGCTGGCAATTTGAAGCAATGGCTGGCATGGGTGGAGAGACAAACTGGGTGGGTGATGCAAAATTAGACAAAGGAGAAACAACATTTGAGATCTGCTGCTGAACAGGTAAACTGTTAGGTCGATGCTGCTGCTGCTGCTGCTGCCTCTGATCATTATAAGGATGGTAACGCTGCATCTGTCGTTGCAGAAGTGAAGACTGAGAAGGAATCTGGTTTTCTTGAAAGTTGTATAGGACATTTTGGGACTGAGACTGCTGTAACACTTGCCTCTGGATACCAGAAGAAGGAGCACCAGGAACATTTGAAGACTGCTGAAACTGCAGCAGAGATTCAGAAGAAGGTTTAGACGGACCCATTGCTCTCATTTCCTGAAGTGCAGCAGCAGCCATTGCTTGGTATATTTCTGGCTGAAGTCCGGACATGGAAGCACCAAGTGTTGGCTGCATCCATGGTGCAACCCCCAGTCCCTGGAAGTTCAGAGATTGCATTCCTTGATCCCCAAGCCCACCTTGGAGCCACGTGTATGGAGAACCAATGTTCATGTCACCATCTTTTAGACCTGAAGCACACAAACAAGGGAAACAATTAAGTTGAGCCAAAGGAGAATATGCCACGTAACTCACTGCACAAGTAAAGCAATGCATGCTACCAAAAGAAGGTAGTCCTGACGGCCAAGGGCGTTTCAGCCTCAAAGGAAATGGGGATGGATACATAGGGAATGTTGTCAACGGTTCAATCTCCCACAAGGAAACTCTAGGCTGCCTGTCCCCTGCAGTGGACTCATCCCAGCCAACCTGCACCAATAGGCAAAAGTTTATACATTCTACATCATTTCCAAAGGTTCCCAATATTTTAACATTTTAATATTGTTGAAAAAACTGTATTGACAAAGCCCCATAGCTGTTTAAAGTGAATGATTTCGACAAACCTTCACTGAACGCCAGTGTGAATTTGGCCAGCGAACAGGATCTAAATCACTAATGCCTGTTATAGTACCCATGTACCTGGACAAGGACATATTAAATAGAGTAAACGCATCATTGCTCAATAAAACCAAAGAAAATAAGCAGTAACGAAAGGAAATGGTCATCATCATCATAACAATGACAACAACGATGACAATTGCTATGATTCACAAAAGCTTCAACTGTCACGAATGCATAACCTGTGCAGCTGCACAGTCCCCAGGCTGAGCTGCTTTATTCATGACTTGTGAATAGTATAACTCCTTGTAGACTTCATTATTTATATTGATATAAAAAATATTAATAACAGAAGCCAACCGTGACAACAATTCTTTAGCAGAAAAAAAATTTTGAGAAAGAAAGAATAAAAAGCGGAGAGAAGTCTATGAGCACAGTCTCTGAAAGAGGAAGCTAGAGAACCAAAATGATATAAAACAAAAGGTAACCAAAGATGAGCAAACTTGTCCAGCCAACGACAAAAAATTCTCCAGTTATGAATGGCAAACTCAGTTATCTGCAAAGCCTAAAAGAGACTGAGTGATTGATGTGAGATCATGTATTTATCTCCTGTTCGTGCATCTAAGTATGTTCCTTTCATTCTAAAACAAAACACCATGCAAACAATGAATATTGTGTGAAAGTAGAGTTTGATTATAAAATGACCAGACCAGTGGAAAATTACAAACAAAAGTAATACCTACCTACGGACACTTGATTCTTCTGTCTCGAATAACATCCTAAATCGCATGCCAACAGAAACTCGGGTATGATATACAGCTTTGACATACTTGGCTAAGGGAATGACAAATTCTGATGGGCTTGCCCTATTAAGTAAAAAAGAAATTAAACAAGGCTTGAAATGTGAAAGTTAGGATTCAGCAATATTGCAATAGCTACAATCTATATCATTAAATTTGTCAACCTTGGGTTATAGAATATAGTAAAGCGGCTATTCGTTGCAGCCGCGTGAGCTGCAGCAGCAAGAAGACCTATATGCATGCTGTCACTTGACAAAACTGAGGACGGCATAACAGTCTGTGGACGAATTGCTCGCCGGATTCCCAAGAGTAATTGATTTTTATCATTCCTGGTGCAAAAAAACAGGAAGATGGGTTACACTAATATTTATTGATAAGTTTTAAAGCCTCCAATAGAGATACAGAGAAAATTCATCATCATTGATCATTCAAATCGATGAGGACCACAGATTCTGTAAAGAAAGGTTGGTTATTTTGTTATGACAAACTAATGAGATCAATGTATAAAATCTGGTTAAGAAAGCCCTACAGACAGAGGTTCTATTAGAAGGTTAAACTCTTTGACTATTATGACTATTATAAAATCCATTACTTATGCTGACAAAAAAATGCATTACTTATAGTCTAAACTTCCCTATTTTTCCTTTATGGCTTCTAAGAATCTACTCAAACAATCACTGCAGATTTGCTGGCAAATTCCAAAGTTTGTAAATGCCAACTGTTGTTTCACTTGTAATCATAAACCTCAAAATGATAGTAAAAACAACAATTACGAGTGAGACCAATGGAAGATGTATCTCCTGAAGGTCAAAAGATATAAGAAATAATGTGTACCAGATAAAAAGGACTGAATCACCAGCAACAAGCCTCTTAGCACTAACAAAGACACTCCACCCTGTAGTTAGAAGATGCCTCTTCGGCTGACCTACAAAGACAAAATCAAAATCAAAAACAGAAAAATAGTGAGAAGCCAGGTGGTTCAAGCATCAATATCAATCCATGTGTAGCATAACAAGGCCATTACATGCCAATTCAATTCAAGTGTTTTAAGTGGTTATAGATAAATTATCTAATGTTGGGAATCTGATTCTTAAGCTAGGAATCAGGTCTGCACCTCTCCTCAGTAGATTGGGAAGAGGAAAAACAAAATAAACCCATTGCACAAAAGAAAATAAGAACAAAAATGAACCAACAACCCACCCACACTCCTAACAGGATAAAGTGAACAAAATTCGCAACATTACTCAAATATTATATAAATATAACAAATGCTTCGAAAGGCCAACCTCGAAAAATGTGTCTGAATTTCCATTCATTATCATGGAGATCCCTGGCAATTAGTTCCTGTGCAGGAGGCTGCAGCGAGTAATCCTAAATAATAAATTCAAGAAAGGGCTGAAAGGTTAAGAGCTTACAAAGTACCTTCTACATGTCATATATAACTGACCAAACCATAAAGTCCACATGACTCACAAGAGGAGGGAAGACTTTTTCAGCAGCTCTTCGAGGGACAGAAAATCCTCCATGAGTGCTGGTATCACTTGCTGTTAATGTTTTGCAGAAGTAGTTGGTTGGTTGTTTGCTGGCAGTACCCAATTCTGCAGGCAGTAGATATATATCCTTTCGCTCTTGCTACAAAACAAATTATGGCAAGATATCACTAAAATAAATAAGATTAAAACATTTCAAAAAAACCAAACAGTCAAAAAGTAAGTACCGGACTTAAAGGTTGCAGAGTCATTTGAGCATATACTTCATCCGTTTCCACATCTGCCTGAAAGTCATAAAGCTTAAAAGCTTAGGAAGTAACCCTACGATAAAGTTTCAAAGCGGATTTAATCAAACACAGCAATCCTTACATGCATAGTCACATTGTGAAGCTGACAGATAAGCTGTGGTGGCAAGTTAGGGTAATTGGGAATATGTGCATCTATTTCCTTGTTTGTTGAAGCAGCAACCTGCAAAAGGCAAAGGAACATTAATTTCTGTCAATTAACTGAATGAAAGCATGTACAAATGAAAAGTATGAGAAGCAATCTGTCCTTAAGAAATATAAAATGTGAAAGTATATTAGGAACATTATCTATTGGGATTAATGCAAACTTCAAATCATGACAGAGTTTTATTTGTCCAAGTAGATAATATGAGAGGTGCTCGCTTTCAACCTAGTCCAATATATACAAACATAGAAGACACGTGCAACTTGATTGTCATACAAGGTCCAATAACGTATGATTGTCAGCAAGCTCTATCATAGGCTCACTGTGATTCTTTCTTATTCCCATATAAAAATCCCATGAACTTAGTATTAATATATGGGCTTGCGCATACATGCGACTTTACCATATATTTACAGAAAGAAACAAGTTGAAGTCTAGCCCGCCAAAATTTAGTTTGCAGATTGAAATAGTATGATTGACCTATTCATTGTGACTCTCTGACAACTCATTTCTTATCTCTATGCAATCTTGTGTTCTTGGACAATCATAAAATCTCTTATCAAAAACCCATTGAAAACGATTAAAGTAGCATAATAGCACTCAACTAATAAGATGAAAGTTGTCATACATACCTGCTCACTATGACCTTGGGGAAAGTAGACCACACGACTTCCAACAGGCGGCAGAGACACCAGAGGACCAGCACATGCATGCCATAATTCGGAATTTAAACATTTTTTCTCCCCTGTATAATCACAATCTGATACAAGGTGTCTATAAGATTGTAATTTGCACAATCAAAAAATAATTGTGTAAATTATAATGCATCTTCTTAGTTATACATATACAAAGAGGATCGCATATTAATAATCACGTATGACTAAAACATATTTACAGAAATCGCCATTAGTGCAGCTGAACAATTCAGACACGACTTAGATGTTTCAAACACCGTGAACTTGACTAAACCTATAAATTTATAAACAAAACAAATTTATAAACAAAACTGCAGAGTCTACTTTACTCCTATAATACAGTTGATTCATATAATACCAGAAATGGGATGCACGAGCCATGTGACGACAAAGACAACTGCCTCGCGAAACTAAGAATTGCCCCGGACAAAGTAAACATTACATTTGAGGGGGGGGGGGGGGAGGGGGAAATTTTGGCAACGCATAAGCTAAACTAAACTGCACAAAGGAGATGTTACCTTCTTGAACCGGTTGACCAAGTCCTGAAGAAGAAAGCCTCATATTAAGATATCTCTAAGCAACCAAAACCACTCTCAGCCTTCAAACCCAAAATCCAATAGCGTCCAATCACTTATTAGGCTGCCCAGTCTCAAAGCATTATCAAGGCGTGTTCTTCATATTCTCTGCACCAAGTCCTCCCCCCCCCCCCCCCAACCCGCCCAAAATTCCAAAATTCACAGAAGACGCCATAAAATATCATCCAAAACCAGTTCCAATGCAATACCCAAACCTTCTCGTTCTCATAACCCCCAGATCTTCTAATTCACACCTCCACCCCCAAGAAGACGTACCACATTCAAATCCAACATCCCAGAGCAAAACCTCCCGAACCCCCAATCCACAAGCCCAACCCCAGAAGCAGCTTTTTGCAGCTCAAAACCCTAGGCGACCAGATCTCAAATTGAGCATACTAGAAGCATGGAATGAACGCGGGGAAGGTGAGGCAAAAGCTTAAGGAAGCGAGGGCGACAGTCGTGGAAGCTTTCTGGATTGGATTTCAGTGTAAGAAAGCGGAGTGAATAGCAAATAAGGCAAGAGAGACTTGTGGTGTTGCGGAACTCTTACTCAGCTCACGCTCAACCCTCTGGTCAAGATAAAGTCTTGGCTACGATCACTTCGATCAATACAATAATGGTAATTGATAGAGAGAACGTTTGGCTATTTATAGTGCCGATCGTTGTAAGTAGCGATGTAGTTATCTACAGGAACGTCCCGTACCTTCTACATTTCGTAGATCCCTATTCATCAATCATCATTCATCAAAAAGATAAAAATGAGGATTCAAGCACTCCACTGTCACTGTCGCTGTCACTTGACTTTCTTCCCCCCAGCAAACGGGGAATAGTACACGATTATTACATGTTATTTTAATTAAAGTTACTGTCCAAAAGATAATAATCCTCTTGTGTTTAAAAATTACTTCTAATATGTGAACACTAGTTAAGAAAAAATTTAAATTTTATTAATTTTTATTAAAATTTAATAATTTTTAATTTGTTCCTATTTAATATACATTATATTTTATGTAAACAAAATTAACATAATAATAAATGAAAGATAAAATTGCACATCCATACAAAAAATTTCTCTCAGTACCTTATAAATAGAACCAAAAAATGTCTTCTCTCTCTTCCCTATAAATAGGACTAGAGGAGTAATATTTAAAAAATGTGTAACCATTATTCAATTTTTTTAAATATTACAATCATATTTTCACTTTAAAATCATAATAAATATATGTAAATTTAATTATTTTTTTATGTTCAGATTAAATAATTCTCTGCCTTCTTAATGTCTTTTAGCATGATATTATTTTTAGGAAAATATTGAATTCAATTACTTTATACCTATTATGTTAAGTTTTTCAATCATAGATGACTATGTGTTTTTTTTTTAATGTTAGTTTATAGTTTAATTATTACAAAACAAGTCTCTTACTCTCTATTCCAGAACTTATCATTACAGACTGTTCAAGTTGTTATTACATCATAGATGACTATGTGTTTTTTTTTTAATGTTAGTTTATAGGTTAATTATTACAAAACAAGTCTCTTACTCTCTACTCCAGAACTTATCATTACAGACTGCTCAGGTTGTTATTAGATCTTTTAGTAGTTATTTCTCTTATATGGGATTTGATGATAATTCTCCCAATATTTAAAAAAAAAAAAAGAGTTAGTTAGTTAGCCAGTGACCGTTAGAAGTTATAGGTGTTACTTTATTTTACATCCGTCTAAGCTGATGAATACGTACACTTTGATATGACATGGATTAGTGTCAATTCCCATTCTCTGTTTCTTTTCTCTATCTTTCCCTCTTCTCCTTTGAATCCCCCCCCCTCTCCCTCTATGTTTTCCTTATCCCTTTCCTATTCTCTTCTTCTTTTCTTATCAATCATACAATGGCGGTATCGAAATATGTCTTTCCTCGGCAATCTTTCAAGATCAAACAATGGGTGAATGTCATGCTATGATCGAATTCAAGAAACATGGATAAAAGATTATAGAGGCATTGAACGCAAGCTTGCATCTATTGGCACGTGACTTCAAAGAATGATCTGTTGACAACCAGAATCATAGTGACTTACTTCGTCTTTGACAACGAGCTAGGTTTTCTTTCTAGCTGACTTTAATGATGAGTTTGACTCTCTTTCTAGTAAATTAGACGTGCTCGAGAAGTTCTACTTGGAGGATGCGTAAGCGTCGGTCTTGAAGAAAATACTCATATATAGGACCTGTTCATATGTTTAACCCAAGGTCCCTGCTTGATTGAAGCTAGAAGACTGGCCACATGTTCATATGTTTAACCTTTTTCAGAAAAGGCCCGAACAAACACATATGATTAAACAGATGAACGAGGGCGCCCATATTCGTCTGTTGTAGAACAGAGGAATATGAGACCACATATTTGTTTGTTCTGCTTCAACAAACAAATTAATATGATGTTCCATATTCATCTGTTAATAACTGACGCGTATCAAGCTTTGATCTACGTCTTTTTTGTTTACGTCCTCCTTTAAATAGATGAAAAAACTTCCAGAATAGACAAAAATGATCTTTTTTTAAGTAGTAGAATTTGAATTTGCTAAAAACAACTTCTGATTTTCCAAATAAAAAGCCTATTTAGAATATCATATGAAAACAATAGTGGTTTGTTCGATCAAAATTTTAGAGTTTTAGTAGGCGAGTGTATCAAAAAGAATCACATGCATATTACTTAAGATAGAAAAAGCCTATGTATATTAAGATATGCGAGTTTGAGCTGATTTGAATAGCCTTAAAATAATTTATTTGTAGTAAACCCTTTTGATTTATTGAAAATTTATTTTATATGATTGCATGTCGAAATAATTTGAGATGGTTAGATATAATTAGCTGGATTTTTTTCGCCAACTAGATATAATTAGCTAGATATATAGTTCTAGCAATGAAGATTATATATATATATAGACACATATATATATTAACCCTATATATACCACACCAAAAGTTTACAGTACCATTTTTTTTCCTTAAATTAATGGGCTTTAGAAATTATGTATAGTGCGTCCCATGTGATTCTTTGATTAATCCATTTTCAAAAGCTGAAAAATAATTTCAGCGATGATTTTAATTAATTTCTATTAATTAAACATGAAGAGTAAACACATAGAGAGATGCATTATTCTTCATATTTATTATAATATGCGTTACATACAAATTTATACTAATATACGAAAACAGGCAACTTTTTCCAATTCAGCTCCCTCTTCTACGTAGGCTGCTCTTCTCCCTGCCCTTTAAACTCAATGAATCCTGCCCAACAAAGCATCACATTTTCAGTAATCTTATAAGAAAACTCAAACACACCAAATTTCAAAATTGTGAAGAATACAAATCAATTAAAATAAAAATAAAAAACAATTATATATGATATATTCATATGAAGATCAAATCAAAATATAAAAAAATAAAAAGAATACAATTAACTTACTTAATCCCCTTTGACCAATAAAAAAATTACTTAATCCCCTGAAATTTTTAGCCATATATTATTCATACGCACGCCTCCTCTGACTTTTTAGAAGTTTACAATAAATCAACCTCAATTCTTAAAACTAATCACTAATAACCTTTTATGATTAATTAGTCCATTATTATATTTCACTAACAAAGCATAATATGTTACTAACTCTAATCCTATCACAAGATTTTGTTTATAGTCTGTATTTATAATTAGGACCAAAGGCAGCAGTAAATATATTCTCTCAAACTATAATTTGAAACTTGAATGATTAAAACTAAAATAAGAAAAAATTTAATAAACCAAAAATTATATTCCTCCGGTCCTTAATATAAGACCCAATTGTTGATTGGTTTTGGTCCTAAATATAAGATCCATTTTCATATTTATTCAATTTTCTATAAATTACCCCTATAGATATTCTCTAAACCATACTCAAGTAGAAGAGGAGAAAGGTATTAAGAAAGATGATCATGATGTTTTAGGAAAAACATGTCATATTTCTTATAATTAACTAACTTACCTAACTTTCTTAATTTAATCAAATTAGTCAAATGGGTCTTATATTAAGGACCGGAGGAGTATTAACTTTTTCAATTTTGCATTCTTTTGCAAACTTTAAAATATTTTTCAAAAAAATAATTTTTGTGCTCATCACCAAACCATTTTTGCTGGCCTGTATATTTGAGCTATTCACACAAACACACATTTTGGCGCGTTCCCGCGGCATTGGCTGCAATCGGTGTCTTTGGTGATCGGAGGGAAGCAGACGTCTTCTTGGCAAAGTCCAGGCAGCGTCACAGCCCGTTGCGGCTGCAATCTCGGGAACAACGAAGCCGCGTACTTCAGGCACTCGCAGCCGGCGCGACAGTCATCCCGGTTCGGCCCAATTTCATTCTTCACCACCTTAATGCCGGCGCAGCACTCCGGCGGCGGCTTATCGAAGTCGCCTTCCAGGTACAGAAAACACATATAAAACGACGTCCCTATCGTCGAACAATTCAGAGCCTCCCCTCGCTTCACCATCATCGTCGCCGTCATCAACATTATCCCCACCGCAACAGCCACCGTCTTCCTCACTCCGCCACTCTTCAAATCGATCTTATCGGTAATCTCTGTTCATTGTATAATGGATATTTCTACTTCGGTAACTCTTCTATTGTATAATGGATATTTCTACTGTCCTATCTGCTGAGAAAGTAGGGTTAAGGCGAAGTTATTATATATAGCAGCTCATGAACAAGTGGGAGATCGATAGAGACAAAATCAATTAAGAAGCAATAAATTATTAACACTGAGTACGTATAGGATTGTTCTGCGATTTTAAACGCGCACAGTCATATATGAATCGATGTGATTCAGATTTCCAAGTTTTGTCTTGTTTGATACTACCTCCGCTCTTTAGTATAAAATCTTGCTTGAATTTTATTTTAGTTCTAAATATAAAACCCCAATCTATTTTGTCTCTAATATTTGTACGGTTTCAAAACAATCCTTCTAATAATAGTAGTTCTACTTCTAGCGAACACACTTGATTAGTAAGGATATTTTAGAAAATACAATACTTATTTATTACAAATAACTAACTTATTTTCTTAATTTTCTCAAATTAGTCAACTAACTCTTATAATTAAAACCGGAGATAATACTAATTATTAATGGAGATAATACTAATTATTAATGTTACGTGAGTCGTCGTGACGTCTACTTGACAGAGACGGTGAAAAAGGAGCCATAGGAAGATGCCAAGAGGAAGAGGATGGCGAAGTGGGCTTGACAAATGAGATAGGACGGGTTTTAGTTATTGGGCTTGGGCCTAAAATTAGGGATCGGAAGCTTGCCAACCAGAAGGTTGGCCCAACATTAATAGGCCCACTGACATCCTCATCATCATAATTTAAGCCCACGCTACAATTAGCAATCAGAAAACATTACCCATATTCCTTCGTTCCATGCGTGGGTATTCTGTTCAATAACAATATCTGGAACATGATCAAGCACTAATGAGACCTCTTTCCTATCCATATAGAAATTTTAACAAGTTTGCTATATTTATAAACATAAACCTTGTCGCTTGTTTATCAGACTTCATGTAATATACTAGATTCATGGTTAGAGTCAAATAATTTAGTACTACCTCTAGTTTTTAATATAAAGG